TATGGGAGAGGTGTGTGCATACTGTTGATTTAAAAAACAAAGATTAAGTAAAATACAACAAAAACAGACAAACTGTGAATCTAATCTCTATGCAAGAACCAAACCAAAGATGTAACGTTTAAGTACATATAGATGCATTTAGGAAACTATGATATTTCAGTTACACAATCAACCGATTGCTGTCTGAGAAGAAACTGGAGGTGACAGCAGCTGTCAGTGTGTGTCTGAAACAGAACGAGTGTTTGTTCTCTCAAACCTTCCTTGACAAAGCCAAGATACCACAACCCCTGTGTGACTGGGAGGCCATGCTGAAACGGAGAAGTAAGTTTTGAATAGATATGTGTAGTCATTTGTATTCCCATCTATCATTTCTTATGTCATCATTATTTTGCCTACATTCCAAAGAGGTTGTTAATAGACAGGCCGCCATTGTATGTGCAAGAGCATGGTATTCAGTATTAGATGGTTAAACAGTCAATTGTTTTTTTTTTGTGGCGTGACATTCATGATCATGACGAGCACGTATTTCTATTGTATTCTTTTGTTTATGACAGCCGAATAGCTCATTTCCAACAGAAGTCTAAAATGAGTAATAACGTAGCACTCTAAGTATACGGAAAGATTGACTTCATATTATGTTAGTTTGATATCTCAGGCAAGTTTGTAGGTGTGTTGCACAACATAATTGTGGTATCATTTATGTAAATAGGCCAATGTTTGTGATTGAGGTATGTGTTCATTTTCGTTAAGTGAAACGGATCATGTTGATATATCGTGTGGCAATCAAAATCAGATATGTGTATTCTATTTAAGGAATCCGGTCCATATACAAAGGCGTTATATAAGGATTAACATATTCGGATACATCTTTTTAAGAGAGAAGAGATATATAATCAAGGTAGTAGCCATGCATCGGAGTCCACAAAATGTTCCTTTGTATTTTAATAATACTCGGGTAAACGTTTCGACCATCTATGACCATTTAACATTTATGATTGTTTGTTTCAGATTTTTCATTGTCCAACTGGGCGTCAGGCAAGGGCCTGTCCTCCGCCGTGTCTTCTCTCTCTGATACTCTGATATCTCAGCTCCTGGATGATCTCGGGGTGTCACAGTATCTCCTCAGTCCAGCCTGTGACCAGTCAGCAAGTCCATATTCTCCTGCTGGGGTAAACAACTGGAATAATGGCAAGTGTATTTTGTTATTGCATGTTAGTTCGCATCTTAGTGTATTCTGATTGAGGAGATCAAGTATGTGTGTGATCGTACAAGCGTATTGATGACTTCAGGGCAACCGATAACAGATGAAATCGACAATTATAAAGCTGTGAGAATCATGGGAATCTACAGGTTTTGAATGATTTGATTGGTTGCAATGAACCAAAATATCACCTGAAATCTGCCAGGCCTTTTATGCACCCCATCTTGGGATAATTTGAGATAAAATCAGCTACTGCGAAATCTACTACAACAGCTAAACAATATGCATACACCATAGCAAAAGTCATGTTTTAATTATTTCGGAATTCTAAAACCATAGCCATTTGCAGTTAGACTTTGTACCTCAGAGTAAAGAACAGTCCTTGTAATTATGTATTTCTGTGTTTAAGAATGTAGGAGCCGAGCTGCACCATCCCTACCAGACTCAGTGCGATGTCACCTGGCCTCCAACTGTTCTTCTGTAGACTGTTGTATCGATGTTCGTCTCATCAAGAGGACCATCCAGGCCAAGTTTGATGTGGATGTTTGTAACCTTCAGATCACAATGACCATAGAAAAACTATCGTACACCGTGTCACTCCTGGAGTACGAATGGGGTAGGTAATTATGTAGTCAATACACAGTACTGTACAGGTCTTTGTGTTTTTTTACAGTAGATTGAATATTTATGTGTCACAATGTTGTATTATACATAGACTAATGGTGGGCCACTGCAATCTGCTGTGCAGAATTATGTCCAAAATTTGCCACAATCCACTGATCAGGCTTTCCAATGTGAAATTCTACTTATTATTACTTGCCCGTGAAGAGATCACCCGTTTAATAAACATACAGCTTTATTACACATTGTGTAATACCAAAACGCGTGCTTGTGTACTCTCGGAACTCGTTTCACGAACAAATATTGAAAGCTCTCAACATCCCTTGACGTATTCAACGACATTGTGTGTGGAGATGATAGATCACTGGGAGGAGCTAATGCACACTCGATGACCCTAGCAACCTTGTTGCTAGGCTGACGTCACATGGCATTATTTCGCCGATGGATCTTGCAACAAAATTTAACAAATTACGTCATCGGGTATTGTGACGTGATTGTAAACTTTGAGGTGCAAGGCCCCGTTCCACAAGGCGATCGTACTCTAGCGCAACGACAGTCTTTAGTCTAAGTTGAATTATGTGAGTTGTGATAGCCTTGGCACTACGATAAATTTGTGGGACGAACGCCTGAATTCTAAAGGTGGACCATTGCATGATATTAAATTCATACGTTTCAACTTTTGACGTGTTTGAAGTATTATTCTGTTAAACTCAATTGGATTATGCCATGGATCGTGTAGGTGTCAGCCCATTTACACTCAACAGTATAATTCTAAAAACATTATAAATGACAAGTAATAAATAAAATACTAAACTCGCTCTCGTGTAAAACCAATTTTATGAAACTCGTGAATAGTTGTGGTATCTGACTCGCTTTCGCTCGTCAGATACCAGAACTATTCACTCGTTTCATAAAATTGGTATTACACGGGAGCTCGTTTAGTATTCTATATTTATAATCTAAGAATTGACACCAACAGACTTGTTGCATAAAACTTCACCATAATGGTATATGATTATACCATGGTCTCTTTGAGGTATTATCGAACATAAAGCCGACACATATAAACATAAAAAACTGATCATGAAATACTGATGTACTCCCCGTTCTGCTTCAGGAACAGAAGGACATTTCATCCTGGGAGATATGACACGGCTGGCGTGAGTATCAGATGCTGTGATACATGTAGATTATGTGGGTCATACATACTCGTGTATCTTTACAAACTGATGTTACAAATTATCAGACATATTAAGAGAGGAGTCATTGTTTTATCAACTAAAACTTCCTCCCACAGGAGATATCGCTTTGGTGAGATCAAGCGATATCTACATATGAAAAGGCATCCAAATGCTTTGCAAACCATTGTGACGTCATTGGTTACCATGACGTCACAATCAAATGACAATACTAATTGCTCTGCTACTGAAGTTGTTAGCAGTACTTTTCACACTGCTTATTACTGTCTACAACTGAAAACGTCAGTAAAATAATGTTGGATGATAATGAAAATCTCACCCTCGTGTCTTTTGATATGATGAAATTGAAAAAATCCTCGGCAAGCCTCGGGAGTTTTTCCACTTTTATCAACTCGTATTGATATATTTGATTTCAAAAGACACTAGGGCGAGATTCACCATTCATTGCGACACTACACATGGTCTTTGCGTACCAGGAGATACCTATTTTACGTTACAGCCCATGACAGAAAATGTGTAGTTTTGGCCCTACTACGAGAAATATCAATTTTACTTTATTGTGGGGTTACCGATTTCATTTTATTGTTCAGCTTTTGGCAAACGATTAATCGGTTATTTAACTTTATCCTGCGCCCCAATTTCTTACTTCTGTCAACAATAATTATTCTACCATGGAATATATTGTTTGAATCAATATTCAATGGATATGTTGTAACTACCAAGAATGTTTCACAGGCTTAAGAAAGAAATAGCATATTTTTTAAAGAATCTCACAGAAAATTATTTTATTGAAACGATCCACACATTATGTACAACAGCTTATCAACTATCGCCACAGGTACAAACTAGAACACATTCCTGCCTCCCAGAAGCTGGTGATTGACCTGAACATCAAGATGTGTTTTGAGGACAACACGTGTGTGCTTGAAGTCCCAGTCTTCTCACAGTCAGAGCTGGTCTATTCTTTGTGTAGCCCGGTGTCGTTTAGTGGTATGTGCGTGATATTAGTGTGTAAACATTAGTGTGGCCTTATCAATTAAATGTGTTCATGTGGTCAGCCTTAAAGAAACTGTTGGGCAGAATTAATACTGGGTTTCTACAGGGTTGTATATCATCTGTATACACGTATACCTGTGTGTTTGTGCGTGCGTGCGTACGTGCGTGCGTTTGTTCGTCGGATTGTATGTCAAATACAGTCCTAAAAAAAATCACCTTCCGGTCGTTTCTGTGAACAAAGTTCCTTTAAATAAATATTGTTTTAGCGAAATCATGGTCTATATTGAATTCAGTATCGCTGGCGGACCAACCAAAATGCACTTTTTTAAATCATCATAGAATTATGATTATATATATATTGTTGTTTTCCATGTCAGATTATGTGCCTTTGGGTGTGGAAAAAAAATGCCCTGACCATAAGGAAACTTTATCAAACTCGCGATATATAGTATCTCGACACAAATTCTTTACCCAGCATATATTTCTTACCTTACTTATAACGTATTTCATCTTTGACAGCAATGGTAGATGGATGTCTTTTTTTGTCGTTTTATAATATAATGTAGATACGCAAGAGTAAATGTTTTACTATTTACATTGCAGGTGTCTCCTTTGACTTTTGGAAGTCTGAAAAATGTGCACTGCAATCTTCCGGTAGGCCTGTATACTTCTTACCATACGTTTATTATTTCAATCTTTCTAATACATTATCACACAACGTAGAATATAAAATAAACAAACATTTGTCTGTTCCTAATAGATTAAGAGTTCCTGTAAACAATGGTTATATTATTTGCTTGTACCTAAACACGTGCTTCTGGTACAGCCGGAATGGAGTTTACATGACCCATGGTTTCTATTTATGATCGAAGCTTGTCCAGCATCACTCCCTGCTGCCATCTCGAGCACCTGCCGACTGACTGACAACTGCATTGGCATCACGTGTTGTGTGGACGTCGACCTCAAGTACCTCGGCGTCTACTCCATCACTGCCGGCATCGAGGTTGACCACTGTAATGACCAACTTGTATACCATATAGAGAACAAAGAGTGGACGAAGAAGCTTCAGGCTGTGGACTATGGTGAGTGGAGAGAGTAACTGGGAAAGGAATGCATAAAGAGAAAGAATTCATTGAGTTGTTTTTCTTAATGAATTTAGAACGATAAATGCAAAAGGAAAAATAATTGAAATTACATACCATAATTAAACAATCCATTTGATCTTGAAGGACATTTCTTTGACCATGAACATTTTCAACACCTTCAATGAAATCACATCTAGAGTTCTGAGGCTAAAATTCTACATTGATGAATGTCGCCCTTTCGATCATGAAAACACATTAATGCAAATTTTAGTTTACTTTCCATCTCTGTCATTTTAAGTCCTATTTTAGACACTATTTTTTTTATGGCAGTGAACAAGTGACTTTGGTTCAACACCACCTTGAACGGGATTTCAGTTATATCAAGGCGTGTCAGCTTGATGTGGGAGAAAATCCCATCGCCGTTTGCCACGTTTGTGAAACCAACCAGCATATGTATGGTGCAGACAAATCTATAAGTGTAATCAGGGCGAATCAGGATTCGAACCGATGGTCACAGGTTCTTTGCACGCCCATGGGTTGCAACTCTGCACAGTGAATTGCGGCGCCTGAAACGACTGAGCCACCTATGCTCCCTAATATGACCGTTGACATTTGATGTAGAAAGATTTAACATGCATGATATACTTTGCTCAGTAAGCTGCAGGAGTTCTTGGTTGATTCCTCTAGTATTTGTCCAATATCTTATGTGAGGACCTTCGTTGTAACTATGTACAATAATGACAAACACTGCTACGTGTTCAGGCTCTCAAGTATCATGATGAAATGTTTATTGTACTCCTAGACAAAAATCACACAGAGCCAGTTGGCAACGCCATCACCCTGAGCTACGTGATCAGCAAGACGCCATCCTTATATGAGGTGTCCTTCCACGTGAAGTTCTGTGCCATGAACGGGCACGACCTCACCAACAACTGCTACCACTACAAACTCCTAGATGAAAAGACGTTCCAGATGCCATCTTCATGTTCGCCTGTTGGAAGTAGAAGGAAAAGAAGAAGTCCTTTAGATTTGTGAGTGTTGCATAATCCCTTTACTGAGGACACGTACCATTTCCTTTTGTTTCATAGCTTGTATGCGGTAGTTCAAAATGTATGTGAGTTTATAAAAAAAAAATTGAAAAAATCTTATATACCTGAGCTGTATTTTATTGCTCACTTCAACTCTTTTCACAGAGTGTTACATCTATAAGCATTATTAATAGTTTAAGTATTGCGCTGATGCGGGACTCGAACCTTTTCAATGTCCCTTGTATATATAAGTGTGTGTATACATCCGATTTTGAGTTCCACAGCAGGACAATATTGCAAACTATTAAATTTGCTTGAAGATGAAAAAACAAACGAAAGACGTTAAATCGAAGGTATTGACAGCGTGCGATTACTTCCAAATGTAGATTTTGAAATTTACGAAACGTTTGAAACTCTTGACATAGAAAGACTCGCGTGACAAGACCTTTGTGAAAATAAGTGGGAAAGGAAATATAGCTCATACATACTTATTTTCCTAAAACAAATCCTTTGGAACCAACGTCTTGAATAAGCATAAAATATTCAACATGTCCAGATAAATACTGCAGATGTTATTTTTAGACATAATGTGAATAAATGTACAAAAGTGTTATGTACAACCTTTCTGTCGAAAATTCATTAGATGTCACTGATCATGTCTAGGATTTAACGAGACTTCTATGGCCTTCTCCTTATTCAGAATACCCACAGGCGATGCCAAGCGGATCCTCAATGAAGCTATGAACCAGAACTTCACGAATGAAGAAATCAAGGATCTGTTTGCAAGACTGAAGGCTGAAGCAGTATGATAGTGATTTATATAATTCGTTTGATCAATTTCTTTGGGAACAATCAAATATACTCTCGTTAACATATAAGGATTGTTATCCGTTTGATAATAGACATAAATGACCTTCTATACAGGAGGCCCTATAACAAAGATTTGTAAGAAACATGGTGTAGGAAAAATCAGATATGTTAAATAACTCTCAGATTTTACTATTGCACAAATTGTCTATGTTTTTACATATTGAAATGGTGTACAGAAAGAAGTTTATTTAATAACAAATGTATTGTATCATGTACCCTAGGCCTGCCCCCCTCAGTACGGAGGTAAAAAAGACTGAAGTACTGAACTGATATGGGCCTCGAAACCTTTTCAATATCACATACAAATGTCTCTACCTTCCAGAAAAGAGACAGCTCACTGAAAATATCACGCACGGATGAAGATGGCACAGCAACCAACACTAAGAGTGCCATCAAGAAGATGGGTTTAGCTAACCCAGGAACCATTCTGTACTCAGGGGAGGTCGGCGGTGGCAACGTCGTGATGGGCATGGAAGGAGGTGGGTAGTTTGTCTTGTCACGAAATGTGCATAGAATTGTTGAGTTAACAGTTGTTTAGACATATCTCCTTTTGATTTAAGATACGAAGATATGCATTTTGTTTGTCTTTTTATGGTTAGTTTCTTATACATCTTCTGCTATGTCCATTTGGTATCTTAATACAGTTGTTATTGTCTTTGGCAGTGTTATTTACCTACATGTAGAGAAGCATAATAGTACTCTGTTCTTGAAAGTGTTCTCAGGACTTAGTGTGGAAGATAAACTGTAACTCACCTCTCTTTGTAGGTGTGAACTTGCATTGCTTCGGGGACATTTTGTGTGTTTGCCTGCTCCGATTTGATCGCATTTTAATGCCTAATTACAAAAAGCCAGTCCACATGTTTGTTAGTATTGTCCATTGCAACTGCTATTAGAATGTCTCTGGGTACCTTGGAATGGTTTTGGAAGCACCCTTGACAATATGGTAGCCAAGTGGTTAATAAAAGAAACAAAACCATTCCATAATCGCATAAAAGCTAAAAGCAGTGTCTATAGTACGATTCCGACTATATCATAGTCACCAGAAGTTCACGAAAAGGTGAGCATACCCTGCCCAACCTGTGTCACGCGTCACAAATACATGCAAATGCTATTCAAATGTTCAGTTACAAAAAAACCGGAACATATGGAACAAGTCGGACTAGGGAATTTTATCGGGCATAACTTTAGTCACAGATGTCCGACCAATTTGGAAATGACCTCCACCTGCCTAGCACACAACGTTTAGAAAGCTTGACAACGATCTTGAATATTGCAACCCAAACCATCAAATAACTCTTAAACAAGAGTCGTATGACGCTCGTTGAAACAATAACTTGAAGAATTCGTTAAATTGGTGAAATCCATTATGTCTGTAACCTGAGCGTCATGTCTTGAATATTGCTAAATGCAGCGGTCAATGCACTCACTGAGACCTATACATCATCCGGATCTAATTGCCTCATTCTTACAACTTGGGAGGGCAAATGTTGGTTAACTTCCTTGTTGAGAGCCTCTTATTTCAGTCACGTTTTAGTACTGTAACTGATGTTCCCAGGCGAGAAGATCATGAAGGTCCTGGGTCGGGTCACCGACATCCTGGGTCGCGGGGATCAGGCGTACACTGTGGGGAAAGGTCTGACCGGGAAAGGACTGCAGCTTCTCGGTGCTAAACTGGCCAACATGAGCATCGGGGAGATGATCGCCATGTTTGATGCCAAGAACATCGACCCTGAACTTGCTCTTCGTCTGACGAGACAACTGAGAGATCTGGCTCTTGCCCTGGTAAGGGACATTCACAATATGATGACAGAAGTGTGTTTTGAGGATACTTAAAACGTTAATGCCTCTTAACTGCTGGGTTCTTCTCTTCGGCAGTGGATGTGATGTTTCCATAATTAATATGATATTTAACACCTTAAGCTTTCACTTTCCTTGATATAACATATCGTTTTATCAGTGTCAGTTTCTAAGGCAAACGTTCCTCTCTACAAACAGGAAACGTCATACTTGCATGTACCATGTTGATGCTATGTCTATCAAAGGTCAAGGTAATTTTGGTTAAGGTCAAGTGCTGGAAGTACTATCATTGAACAGTGCTTGAAAACCCTTCTTATGTAAGCAATGCCAGGGACATTTATGTTGATACAGATACAGGAGTTATAAAGATGTAGACGTGTACTACATGTGCTAAAATAAAGGTCAGCATGTATCATCTAAATACTAGTGTCTATTGAAAAGTAAATGATATTCTCTGCCTAAAGCCAGCTCTCCCCGTATAATCAGCAATCTGAATTTCAGTATTCCGAAATCATCAATGCCTTCATCAATGGCGATGGGGCCAACACATTCAGCTCATTTGACATTACCCTTCAAGGAGACTTCAGCATACCTAGACAACCCATCAACTTCTTCCGCTACAAGTATAAGTTCCTGATTGGGGGACTTGTACCCATGACCTTTGGTGAGTGTGGAGTTATGCTACAATCATGCTAATAAATGTTTATCTTATGTTTCTAGATCCAGATTATGATTGTTGCCACTGTCACACGCCACATGAAGTACAGTTTTCTTTCTTTCAGGGACCGATGAAGTAGTTGCCTTAGGGTTAAAGCATCGCATGTGTGAAGCTCATGATTGACCCACCATGATATGACTGGAAAACTGCTTGAAGTTCACTTGTTTGTTCACTCACTCAATACTTTCCCAAGTATTCAATACAACTAGGTGGTCAAAGTTAATAGTCTAAGGAGACGCAACTTGACATTGACCATTGCGTCATATTCGCGTTGATTATGATCCCTGCTCTATACTTGTGTATATACCTACTGTCTTTGTCACTTTGAGTTTACTCTTTCTTAACCTATGATAAAGTGGATACTGTTTTGAACCTTGCTCAGCATGAAAACATATTCAGGCTGGAGGAATTTTCTCTTTCATATTTTCTATTTACAATTCCCCACTCAGACACAGTATACTGACTCCGAGCCGACCAGTCCCTGTTTTATCCCATAATGCCAGGCAGGGTGGTCAAAGTTAATAGTCTAAGGAGACGCAACTTGACATTGACCATTGCGTCATATTCGCGTTGATTATGATCCCTGCTCTTCACTATACTTGTGTATATACCTACTGTCTTTGTCACTTTGAGTTTACTCTTTCTTAACCTATGATAAAGTGGATACTGTTTTGAACCTTGCTCAGCATGAAAACATATTCAGGCTGGAGGAATTTTCTCTTTCATATTTTCTATTTACAATTCCCCACTCAGACACAGTATACTGACTCCGAGCCGACCAGTCCCTGTTTTATCCCATAATGCCAGGCAGGGTGACAACAAGTGCCATATCTAAAAAGAATTAATGCAACCTCCGATTGAACCCCAACCTTTCACTCTCCGAGCAAATGCTCCATCCACTAGACCACGGAGGGGGTCCTTGAAATTGAAACTCATACTTATGGATGTAAACCACTGAATCACCGCATTAGGCCACTGAATCACTATATTAAGCCACTCAATCACTGTATCACTGAATCACTATATTAAACCACTGAATCACTATTAAACCACCGAATCACTGTATTAAGCAACTGAATCACTGTATTAACCACCGAATCACTGTATTAAACCACTGAATCATTGTATTAAGCCCCTGAATCCCTGTATTAAGCTACTGTAATTTCAGAATTGGGAGCTGAAGCCACTTATGGAATTGAAATAGGTGTAGGAGCCAAGATCCTTGGCATGACGGTATTTGGTGAAGTCGTGCCCTATGGAACTGTCAGTGTCTACGGGGAACTTGGCATTGGATTTTTAATATGGTTTGGCAAACTAAGATTTGACGGCCGCCTCATGAATATTGCTTTCCCATCCAGGGCTGAGATCGGATTCTATAAGTTTCCACTTGATTTAAGGTGAGTATACTCAACTAATTCATATAATACCAAATACCTGTCTATCCCTCTATATATTCTTTTTCAAATTCTTCTAGACAGCTCAGATCACCATCCTAACTAACGAGTGTGATATTAGTAGTGTGTTTATAAAGTTAAGTAATGTTTGAGAATAGATTATGTTTACATTTTTCGTGTTTTCCAGCTTGACTCCAGAGCAATTCAAGGGCTTTTGTCGTGCTTCACACTGAAATACATGTTACATGTGGTGTTTCCTCGGTCATGTTCAAAATTATTCGATGATTATTGTTATTGTTATTTATTTTCAATTATTCTTTTATATTTTATCATATTGACATTTGTATCGTAGCATTGTCTATGCGCATGAATATAATCCTTCTAAGTCTAGACATGTTAGACTTTGGCACCATGAAGAATAAGGACGCCAGGTAAAATGAGCACTGTGTTAGCTATATGAGTCCCTTGTACAATTACAATATTATTGCAATGAGACTCATAATACTAATGTAAAACTATTGCAACATTAAAATGCCACCAATGTGTTCTCTATTAGAAAAAGACATTACTCAAGGAATCATGTTCCTCATTTACAACCATCTCTAGTTTGACCATGGATGTGGAAATGGTCCCTCTGGAGATGACCCTGCGGGGACAAGTTACTACGGAGGTCGAACTCTTGCTCGTCACGATCAAGAAGATATTGTACGAAGCTGTCATCTGGCGATATGCAACTCCTGTGATAAGGAAGAGACTGATAGACACAGGCAAGAAGGAGGAGGACAAGTCTCCACCACAGTTCCTCAACTATGTGGACAAAACCGTACGTTGTAGAATAGTATTAAAGTGTAAATTTCAGATGCCATCGACAGCGTTGGGCTTTACATTTCTCAATCGCTTAGGTGCTTTACAAGTAAGCTTTTCAAACAAGATTACTCCACCAAAAGTCCCAGTTAGTCAGTCCAGAAATTGTATGCTTGACATTCAGGTGAATTTACTAAATGCGACACGTCGCTTGTCAAAGGGACAAAGCAATGTATTTATTATCTGTGTCCATCAGGGAGGTTCTGGTCGACAAAAGAGGGCAGTGTCCACATCACGGAGCTGCTTAGTGAGACAACTCTCCGATAGAGACTACACAGAGCCGGCTGTAGAGATAGCCATAGCTGCCCAGGATGACCGGAGTCAGGTCCAGATCTTTGTGGATGCTGGGACCAAACCTGGACTCACTGATGTGCTCAGAAGAGTCAGTCTTGGTGGACCATCTACAATTATCACTCAGGTATGCAGGAAACGTCATCATAGCCTGTTTTAAAATGACTTGGAATGATGTCTGTCATGGTCAGTTAATGTCGGTATGATTTCCAGATTTATTCCGTGTTTCTTTCTGATGAGCATCAAGCTTGAACCCTTTGGACAATAATACCCTTCTCCCTTGTGTTGATCTGACTTGAATCCTCATTTTGGACAACACTGCCCTACCCCCTTGTGTTGGCCCTGAAGTAAATCAGCCTTTGAGATAACACTGCCCTTCACTATTGTGTTTGCCTAGAGTGAATACATTTTTGGGACAACACTGTCCTTCTCTTTAGTGCTGGTGCTGCTTTAGTGAATCAGGCTTCTTGTCGTTTGAATAGAATCAGTCTTTAGGACAACACTCCCACTCCCTCGCTCACTGAGGTAGTTAATCGTAATGCTTTAAATCTGTCCAAAACCATGCTGACTCGTACTACAAAATTATAATAGGAAGATGTCAACAACCATACACTTTGAATACGATGATGATATATTATCATTATTAGAAGTTGTTGCCATTCTTTCATATTAATTATTATTCAACATGGACTTTCGTATTTCTCTTGAGCAGAGGGGAAAGCATGATATTTTGCTGCATCTGCCAGAAGTGCAAAATAGACTCACCTTGCTGAAATATAAATTTTCAAGTATCTGTATGTTGGTAATTGAAGGGCCGCCTCTATGGTCCAGGGCATAAAGCACCTGCCGGCCGGAGAGTGGAAGGTTGGTAGTTCGCATCGCCGCGTCATACCAAAAGACGTTACGCGATATTACTTCCCCAAGTATCGCCATTAAGGGTAGGCGCGTAGGTAGCATATTGTCTATTTATGAGAGTGGTATTCAAGTCTAAGTGCGGAATGGTATCTCAGTTGTCTAGCACTATAATCTGGTAGAAGCCCAGACTATTACAAGTAGACACACAGACACGTGCATGCTCACCGTGTATGTTTTTGTAATGCGATGTTAAACCACCTTTGATCTTACCTCACCTGTAATTACAAAAAAGATATTTCAACAATTCGTTTTGAAGGAAACCCCTCAGTATAAATATGTTTCAGCGATTTTCCAAGAATGGCTATGGCGTCCCCGTCTTTTTCACGGTGTATGGCGAGAACAGCGCAGGCGCGAGATCCACCGTGACTTGCAGCATCCCAACCTATGACGTCACGCCTCCTGGTGGCAGACTGACATCAGACTTCAGTTCAACCAGTAACCCAGCTGAGCTGAGAGGGAATGTGGTGGTGTATGAAGATTCAGATCTGGTTAAATCGTCCGTGGGTGTTGGACTGGGAAGGGGAATCTACGGAGATGAAGTCATAGCCTACAACTCTGTCAATCTCAAGGACAGGACAAATGCACACTATGATCGTAAGGAAAATATATAAAACTATAGGAAAACTATAATATATGAAAAATTGAATGTCTTTGTATATTCGAAGAAACGAAACAACAACCAAGGCCATAACAACTATATTACTATTATGTGGATAATAATCAAAATCAAAATTAACGGGATATGAAATGTTATCAATGCACATAAATATTTGGAAAACAATAAATGTTAAAACGAGGGTTAGTGAATAGTCATCAATATTGTTATTCAACTTTTGCAATACTAATAACCTATTCTTCTTTCCGAAAAGTGGTGATTGGTTAGCCTAGTGGTTAAAGCGTTCTCTCGTCACGCCCAAAATCCGGGTTCGATTCCCCACACGGGTACAACATGTGAAGCCCATTTCTTATGTCCCCCGTCGTGGTATTGCTGGAATATTGCTGAAAGCGTTGTATAACCACTCACTCACTTTTCGAAAAAGTGACACCATCTATGTTACTGTAGTTAAAGCCTAAGTGATTAACATTTAAGCTTTGTCATTGTCAAACAAAGAATCAGTCGATCGTTGTGTTGCATTACTACAACAGCCAGGCCATAGTGTACAGTTCATTCAATACGGATACTATTGCGGATACTGTCTTTTTATACACAGTAAATAGAAAGTCATGTCCCGAAGGTTGAAATCTCCAAATCATGTATAATCGTATTTAGCAGGCTGGATATGTGAAAAGCGATTGTTGTTACCCCTCACAGCTTCAACTGATAATTTTGGCCTCGAAGCGCTGAAATATTTCACGGGTCTGAAGGACGGCCGACTGATTGGTCCGGTGTTTGCCGAGTTCTTCAGTATGAACCATGCCGGGTCCTGTGTGAAGGAGTGTATGAAGTTCCCGGAGACCAAGTGTATGAGCGTCAACTACGACTACGGCCCTAAAGGACATTGTGAACTATTAGAGGGCATTGAAGGACATGACCATAAAATTTTCATTGTGAGTATAGATGATTCGTATGTGATAAACAACTCATGTATCCAATGTGGCATCTTTACTTATCCAGTGTATTATATCTCTTTTCTCTGATAGATAGCCCAGATCCATTAAAAAACTCGGGGACATATGGGACAAGTCAAAATAAGGAATTGCATCTGGCCACACTTTTGTCACTGATAACATCCTCCACATATCCACAATGAAAGTGTCTTAATGTTTTGTTTTGGCCATGCTCAGAATAACTCTTTCTTTAAAATCTTTGTAGATAGACTGCTCAATTGTACATCAAAAGATAAAATGTGTCTCTTGCGGACAGTTTTTTCGTCACTCCGAATCTTTATGCATAGAACTAAATATGAAACAGATGAGACGATTTCACAGGTCTAGTTTATTTTGTTGTTCATTTTAATACATCAGTGTAATGGAAATGGTTATTAGACCATTGTGACGATATCAGAATATGGATATAGCTGAAGCTTAAATTACACTTCGTGGCCAAATTCCCTTGTTTGGATTGGGCCAATCCGAGCAGAAACACCGAATCATTGGGATAAAGAAACAGAACAGCAAGGTGTGGAGCACAATTGGTGCCCATGGGGATGCTTCCCTTTTGAATAAATGTTCTATACCCAAATTTCACTGTCCCACAGTAAACTTCATATGACTTTTGCTGTCGTTATTGACAAAATGTCCTGATCCTTTGAAGATAGAGATGTAAATATATATGTCTACACCCAATTTAGTGACAAACGCCTCACGTATCAAGCCATGAAGCCTTTCCATAATTGTGTCGTATGGGATGGTAGTATATAAAGTTGAGGTATCACATGTTTTGACAAAATTTAGATTGCTAAAGATGCATACATATCTTGTCCCTAGCTATATTTCTTTCTGTGAAATATAGAAATCTGGGGCGCTTTGTACAAAAGAGTACAAAAGATCCCAGTACAAAAGAGAAATGGACATGTTTTCAGGTTTTCGCTGATTTCTACCTCGGTGAATGCCTTTTTTGTGGCATTTTTTATGTCATTTTACTAAATGGATACCGTATAGTGTAAGTTCATCCACTGAAACAGGACTGAATACATGATGCACTTGCATAGATACGTGCACATAAATGTTTCATGTTCATCTGCATACACGTTTCACATAACATTTAATGATCTAGGGATAGCCTGATCTACTGAAATCTGCTTTCAAAATCCATGAAAACAACATAGATAGGTAGAATACATGGGCAGATTGGGGAGATTTAACTATGAAGGATCTTGGAAGGGTGAGCTAGCCTACCAAACAAAATTTGACTCACACACTTTCATATCAATACAAGCTGCCAATTTACTCATCTGAAATTCGTCCGGTGATAAAAAACAAATACCGGCGATAATGAACCACGATCACTACATTTTCCGTCATCTCAGGGTAAAACGTATTGTTTTAATGATTAAAGATATGTATGCTGAACCGCAAAAGAAACATCACCTCAAGTAGCGTTGCATGAACGTTGTCATTTAAATATCTGGGTACTTTTTGTCAAATTTTCCAAAATTTAACAATACCTTGTCCGGACCAAGGCTCACCACCCGACGTTAGGATCGTCAGATTGTGCGACAGCATCTTCAAGATCGCTTTGTTACTGCTGCGGAAACTGCTCGACAGACCATGGAGACACACCAGTGACACATTACTGCGGACACCGCGTGTCAACGATTGACGAGCAGACACCTCCACTATCACAGGCCACACCGAGGACCCATTCTGATATCACGTCATCGCCGGGACCGTCTTCAGCATTGGCGCCACCAGCAGTGAAGAAGAGTCCTTTTCTCAGATGAGAGCCGTTACTGTATCTCAACAGCAGATTGCAGAGAGTCTGGTGACGCTGTTGGGAACGTTATTCGGATGCTTGTGTTGTTGAGAGAGACTCGTTGGATGGTCCGAGTATCATGGTGTGAGGTGGAATTGGTCTTGCACAGAGGGTCGGCCCTGTGGTCTTCCAGTGCATCCAACCGGGGAGAGGCAATGGTGGCACAGCAGCTCGGTACATTGATCAAGTCTTGAGACCACACGCCATACCTCATTTGGCACGTCGCTGCCCATACTGCGAGAGTAACAAGAGACTTCCTCCAGCAGAATGGCGTCAGAACCATGCAGTGGTCTGCCCTCAGTCCCGATATAAATCCCATTTAGCACCTGTGGGATGAGATTCAAAGACGGCTGAATGACGTCCGACCAAGGCCGACAACTAACTGCAGCTGAACTACGTCAGGCGTTCATCAGAGTGTAGGCACAAGTGCCTATGGCCTTCATCAACCGCCTCATCCATTCCATATATCGACATTGCACGGAAGTCATCAATGCACATGGTGGACACACGAGACACTGACTTGTGATGCCATTTTCTCAGAGACTAGTGTAGTGTTTCACTTTAAGAGCATTTGACAATTTAATTTAATCTCGCTGTGCAGAGTTGCGTCCCTTGGGCACACCAGAAACCTATGATTGTGGGTTCGAATCCCGGTTCCCCCTGGTTATGTTTCTAGGTTTGTCAGCACCATACCCGTGCTCGTGGCACTGCAAACACGAAAACGTCGTTTTTTCCGTATATGGTCATTGGACGGAAAAACGACGTTATTTGGACGTTTTCAAACCATCGTTTTTCCGTCCAAATAACGTCGTTATTTGACATCGGAATTTACTGGGAGAGAACGATAGCGTTAAGCTCCTCCCTTTCTTGATTGACATTGTCAATCAAGCAACAGCGCCTACCGGTATTTCTACTTCTCTGTTGTCATTGGTCAGTCCCCGCGTGTTAGATTACAGGCCCGCGTTTGACGCTGCACTCGAAGCGCTTAGCGGAAGAACTGAAATCAATCGTTCTGCGCATGCGGATTACTTAATGCCTTGACCAAATTTTCCGTTCTGTGCATGCCCGATTTCGCGTATTGTTTCCTAGATTTAATGTCACCACTATTTGACAATGGTTCATAAACACAGTCACGTGAAGGTTCGGAATCGTAACGAGTAACTCCATTTAAATTGAAGAGTATCCCCAGTGATATGGGAGATTCCAAGATGAAACTATTCTATGGCTATCTAGGCTGCCACCCAAACCGATCTAAACGGGACCCGATAGCTTATTGTATGCTATATATAGTCATATGGAAGTGGACAAGAACTATACATGGTTTTTCCGGCCGATTGTTCTTGCATTTACTCTTAAGTCAGGAAAATGGACTTAAAAGGGGAGTTGTTGAATGTAATTATTTTAATTATTAAATGTTGCCTATACACTAATCTGGACGAACTTCTCATTGTTCTGTTTATGTCATCCTATATACTATTAGTATGTTACCGTTCTAAAGTCAACCTCTCACATGACATTATATTGTTCATAGTATCAAAGTTTAATCAACAATATCAAGAGCAGCGATTTAAACCAATGAAACACCCAAACACAAGGCTGTTATCAAGCGCTAGTGCAGACATGATGCATCGTGAAAACTGCATCGTGATGTCTTCAAAAATACAATTATACTACGAGATAGTACGGCTAACGCTGACTCACCGGTGGAACAAAGACAATATCGCTAATACAGATATAACGTATTTGAATGTTAATACTAAAGACAAACAATCATTATTTTTGCAGTGACGATATAACACGTATACACGTTTATTGTTAACTTTCATCAGTTTTGCTCTTCATTTTAATAACTTTGTTTTCACATATATATGTAGCAATACCCGACAAGCATGTCATACATAATTATGGGGCAGTTTTCAATCTTGTACTGACTTACTCTGGTGTTAATGAGCGAAGTTTATTTGCTTGTGTGTAAAACCCCGTTTTTCTGGTAATCCTATTATTACTTAGTTTATTTCTATCTAATGACACCCTGTACTCTGGATCATGGCTCCGTGACTATCCATAACAATTAAGATGAACATTCAGTTCAAGTAAATGAATGAGTTTGTTTTGACGCTACAGTCAGTCAAAAAACCAATGCTGTGAGGTTTGATAACACACTTCTACCAGGTCGAACATCGTGGATCCTCATTTTCTGCCTAAAGAGAATCATAGTTCATATGCTAATCCATCTGCGAATACCCTCCCACTCAAGATGACCTTACTTGTTGCTAAATCTATCATCAATCCCCCAATCTCACCCCCCACGCCCCCCCCCCCCTCCCCCCACGCACGCACGCACGCACGCAAACACGCACACACGCACGCACGCACACACACACACACACACACACACACACACACACACACACACACACACACACACAAACAACTGACCTAAATAACCTGGACAGGAAATACTGCTCTGGTCAACTCAGCCGCGCCACCGCAGAATGTTCGTCCAACTCTGCAGGGGGCATTCTCAGTGGCTCCAAACGCGCTGAAATGTTTTCGCCTTGCATCCAAGATGGTGGACAAGTGAAATCGTATGAAATTTGGCTATTTTATGTCCTATCTCTTTTTTGATTACCCAAAAAAGTCAATTCATAGTTACACGGTTGTGAAGAAGATTACAACTTTATAAGACTTATTCATCTCATTCCAAAAAAGCTACTCGCGCTCAAATAAAGTTGTAGTTATTATGTCACTGTTTTATTTCTTTAAAAATATATTACATGTTCAACAATAACAATTAAGATGAACATTCAATTTCCGATATAAGTAAATGAATAAGTGTGTTTTACGCCACAATCAGTCAAAGACCAATGTTGTCCGGTCTGATGACACACAATCTACCAGGTAGCACATTGTGTACACCCTATCCCCATTGAAGTCTCCACTGTGGGTATTCCTGGGGACGAAAAGGCCCCATGTACCTAGGAATTTCATCAATTATTCATGCGCGGCATAATCTGCCTAAAGAAGATCTTATAGTTAACATGCTAATCCAACTCGAACTACCATCCCGCTCAAGATGAATGTTTTATGTAACATCCAACAGGCCCACATTTACGCACGCACGCACGCACGC